AAAGAAATATAATTTTGGCCCATGATATGATTATTTTTATAAATACCAATGTGTTTTATCACGTATAGTTCGTATCGGCCGTATCCTATGGGAGTCAAATTTATAATAGCTTACTGATTACAAGTAATTTTAAATTATTAATTATAAATGTTAATTAGTAATTACAACCATTCAAAAACTGACAACAATTTTTTGTGAAAAAAAGTATTCTAATAGTATTCGAATACTTTAAAAAGTATTCGAATATGTATTCTGAATATATTTTTTAAGAACTATTCGAATACGTATTCTGAATACCTTAATTCTCATTTATTCGAATATGTATTCCGAATACAAAATAAAAGTATTCTTTACAAGACTGTCTACTTCTTATTATAGTTACTACTTGGTTTTGATGTAATATTGTAATACCATAATATATTATACTTTCAGGTAGATACGTAATAGTTTGAATGTAACAATAACAATTAAGCTAAGATCGGGATTTTGTCTACTACTCGATATACACTTTTTTTATAAAATATTATTATTTTGATACGATTTCAACAATATGACAATCATTAAGTCTATAGGTACTCTATATACATTATGAATTTATGATGTATCTCATTGACCATGCACCTAATATATGTATTAAGTTTTAATCCGGAAATTCAATCAGATTTTTACCATACCTACAAGTCTTTATAAAAAAGTATGACCCCGAAAATACTTTGAAATGCCATAACGATAATAATGATAGTAATAACTAATAATATATTATTATTATATTTCAAAAAAATGTGATCATCTTATTCATGACTTTCCACTATGAAAACTCCATATACATAACATATAGGTTCCTTATTTTATTATATTAGAATTTTAGATTTTCAGGTGAAGTGTGAAATATCAAATAACTATTTATCTTACACAACAATAACACTCATTTGTTTGTAAATATATTTATCTCCTGTTTCATCGTGTAAACATCAATATGACATATTATTATTTTAAATCATAATATAATATCATAACACTAAACGAGTTTTTGAATAATATTGTATATTATATATAGTAAAAATAATTTTGTATATTCTTTTGAATTTTTATATTTTTCGATACAGTTTTGCAATTAATGTTCTTTATTTTAGGACGACTATAAGGATTAGAATACAAAATAAAATCAGTTATCGCGGATTAAGACTAAATTCACAACTTTGATTTAAGTTTTCAATCATATACGTAGCTATTCTCATTTCCCTGTTACCCTGTTACAAGTTGAGTGTGCGATTTATGTTAAATAAAAACAGTTTCTTTGATTTTGATGGGTATTCAAATAATTATTTAATGTAAATATGATAATATTATTATAAAAATAAAAATGTTTACCGTTAAATAAACTCAATATATTTCAGTATTCATATATAGCATTAAGTATATGAATATATTATATTATTATAACATTGTAATATTATAATATTATATTATTATGGTATTAATATTTAAAACCAGCTATTTTTAAAACGTATTCCATTAAAGGTAATTCTAAAATATGTGCCATTTCCATGCAACACTCACTCATTTGTAATGTCGATTAAATTGTATTAGTTTTGCTTTAAAATATATGGACTTGCTTTATAATAATGCAGGTACGGTATACAGTGATTAAAATTAGCGATGGTTGGTGGCATGTTCAATTATTTTTTTTTAATTTCTGGTACGTCAGAAAAACACAGTAACCAGATTTAATATGTAAACGCTACCTAAACCTTTACTGCAGAGTTTGGTTGATAATAATATGTTTTGTAGGTATTATACCTACGTGCTGACTGCTGAACAATTAGAAACAATTAAACTCTCAAATTAATATTTTAACCTAACCTAACTTTAATATTTTCGATAAGTTTAGGCCAACACAAAGTGTTTGAACCAATTACTCCATAAAATACTCGATTGTTCACATTTCAATGATTCAACAGGTCCACTTCACGAATTTAAGTTAAATGCGATCACGTGAATCACGTTTATTTACATAAAATAAATACATAATGCATAAAAATACATACATCATATTATATTTATTATAACATCGACTGAAATTAAACTGTGATATACAATAAATATTAAGTTATATTATGCTTAAATATTTAATGTCATTTTCAATATAATCACAAAAGTATACGCATAATTTAAACCAAACAAATTTATAGCTTAAGTGTCATACAATTTTGAAACATAATTATACCTGCAGTATATTCTGTCAAAAAAGTTTTCAAATTATTTTTAATATTTTTGCTAAAAACAACGTTTATTAAATTTGTTGTTAACCGCTTACCGTGTCCTCGACGCTGATTTAACTTTGTAAATAAATATTTGGACAAACTTTAGTTTTACTGCTGCTCGTCTTCTCACAATTTTTTACCTTACATTTTTAACATTATAAATTACGTAGTTTCTTGTACTCAACTTACTGTGTTACAATGAAAGTCTCAACAAAAAGTATAAATTCTAAACGGGTATGGAGGCTTTCGGAGAAACTTCTTTATCCCTATTAGCTAATGAATTATTTTCTAGAAATTAATCCCACAGAAAAACGTTTTAAACGTTTCCGCGATCCAAGTAACACGCAGAGGAGCATTATGTACGCACTATACGTCTATAGATATATTGTTAGTTCGGATTTAAATCTTACAGACCACTCACTTAATAGAGATTCTCGTTGTACTTGATCGTGATCGTATATAAATAAACTAAATAGCTAGTTAAATCTCAAATAAACATTTTAAATAAAAACTGAAAATACTATTTTTAAACAGTAGCTAGATAGGTTTAATAGGTACTCTATTTCTCTGATCACGGTTCTGTGAGAATGAGAGAGTACCTACTTCAGTCTATTATAATGTCACTCAATGACAGCAGCGAGGCGTGAGGTTTTTGGTTGGGGAGATACTGAAAATAATGGTACTAATATGCCTAAACTCCCCCCCCCATTTTTATTTTATCTTAATGGCAAGAAATAAATGTTCAAAATCTAAAAACGAACTGAAATATTACATTAAAAAAATTAAAAACTTTACAACATCCTTAAATGATAATTTAATATAAGAAATCCAAATGTACACATTTTTTTTTCGTATGATTAGTTAATAATTCCATCGTTAAAAATGGCATTAATTAAATCATTAGAATATAAAAAAATAAACATTAAGAAACACCGACCTACCTATCACGATAGAGTGACAATGCGACGGCGACGTCGATAATAAATATTGAGGACTGAGGTAGTTACGAACGGTGAGACTTGTCTCATAGCGTACATAGTAAACCCCACTCACATTAGCATTCCCCCTGTACCCGCGAGCCTATATTAAATTTAGATATAATACCATATTTGGAATGACCAGTATAGTACGCACGGCCGTATCGCACGCTTCTAATATATCTTAAGAATTCTAAAACTGTACAACACTATAATAGGTACAATGAAAAACCGATTTTAACAAATACTGAAACATACATCATATTCATAATATATTTTATAATATAAAATAAAATTCACATTTTTAAATATTTTATAAAACAAAATAACTATTATTTATTTGTCCCGTGTTCTAATTTCTAAGTGGGGAGACGTTGTCTCTTTGCCTTCTATGACGCTTCGCCACTGCTCAATGAATAAATAATGATAACTAAGAATGATCTTAATGATGTTTCATAAAAAGAAAATAGTTATGAATAGAATATTATAGTTTTAAAACTAACTACCCAAATTGACTAAATTCGTCTAGTTTCTACTTTCTAAGGTTTGCTTGGACAACAGAACACCGATTTATCTCTATAATTATGTCGTTAAATGTATGAAGCGACGATTCATTTGAAAAAAAGTTTGAATCCGCATTCACCATTTAAACGTTGGTCTAGTAAAATGTGTACAGAACGAATTAGATATTTACCAGGAAATGATTTGAAAGTTTTTGTACAAACGGCGACAATTTTTGGACTTTGAAGTATTATAATAAAAAATTACTTCTATATAACTAATTTAATAACGTGCTTTTAAAACCTTGATCACAACCCATAGGATATTATTGTATTAAGTTTACAGTCTTAACTTCTAAAGTTACGCTAACACTATATTTATCACACAAAAATATATTTTTAAAAGAATGTTTAAAACATCTTATTACAGTTAGGTGCTATGATGTAAATATGTAATATTAAAAATTAAAATATTTTATACTGATATTATTTTTGTCTAAAATAATTCATAAGATCTTATAATTTGGATTATTTCTAAAAAAAGTATATTTTTATTTTGAAAAAATTATTAAGATCTTATAAGAATCCTAATTTATGCAATAGTGCTCATAGTTATATCATCCGACTGAACAGGGGAATATATATTGATTTTATAATTATCATATATATATAAATATATAATATATATGTTATTTCAGTTTTCTTTAAAATTACTTTTTCGTATTGATGTACATCAAAAGTTTCATAATTACAGTTTCTTAATAGATTGACAATTTGACACAGTTGGTACTTGGTAGTTACTTTAGTAATGTATTTTTGAAATTACCCATTAGTTTTCAGAAACCATTTGGTATTATATGAATGACTCAGGTTCGGTTACCGACCGTAATTTGTAATTATAGGTTTTGAGTTTTAATAATATTTGATTTGTAAACATTGATTACAATTCATTCTAAAAACTATTGCTGTTTAATATTGAGGACATTTACTCGTTTTTTTTTATGAGCATTTCAATTTAAATAATCTGTTTATAAATAAATTAATACATTACACGTCCTAATATCTAGTATTAATATTAAATAGTAAATTCAACGTTTAACTCACGACTCATTTTTCATAATATGAGTACTGTACATATTATGTAAAATAGTGTAATTTTTTTTTCCAATACTTAATTAAATAATAATTGACTTGATCTATAGTAAGAGGCATTTTCCCAATTAATCATAATTAAATTAGATCCACTTAATTTCATTCACCTCTTTGAAATGTTTCGTCGTCGCACAAAAATTTGAACGTATATTTGGCTCCAATTACGTTGTCGTTGACCATGTTTTTTTCTTCTAATGATAGACATAAATTTGAAAAATCATCGAAGCACTTCATTCCCATTTTGAACCCTCTATTTAAACATAATAATAATAATCATATAATTGCACAAAATTCAGATATACTAAAGTATTATATTTAATTACAAATCCATTTATCACATCAAAAAAGGTTTGTTAACACCATCAATATAAATAATACCATTGTCAACGAATGAAATCAATTATGACTTAAAATAGTATTATAATATGACTGATATAAATTATAATCCGTCATTAAATTGAAAATTATAATACTCGTCCTATCGTTGTAAATGATTATAATTTTATGAAGTTGAAAATTGTTTATACAATGTTAAAAAAAAAATAAGAATTTATTTAAATTAAACAAATTTTTGATAATATATATTATTGTAATTTTAAATAAACATGCTCGGATACGTATAATAATTTCTTTGAATGATAATATTATGTAATAGTTATACATTTTTATTTCCATATTATGAAGCAAAATATTTTTATAAGTATTTTGATACATAAATACAATTTGAATTTCAAACGAGTAGTTAGAACAAGTGTCTCTGATCTCTGTATCCCCCTCTAAATATGTTGGTCCACTACGACGCTCATAAAATAGGAAGGTACCTACTCATTAATTAATAACTACTCGTTTGAAATTATATTTTTTTATATTGAAGTACTCTAAAAATATTCTAAATATATTGAAACATGAAAATATAAATAGGTAATATAGGAATTTAAAAAGTAAAAACATAAAAGTGATAACAAAATAATTGTAAAAATTTATGTTTTTTTCTTTCAACAATTTCATTTTACAATGCCATTTAATATTTTAATGTAAAAATAATATTTTCAAAAAAATTAAAACTTTTCTTAGCAATGAGTGGTAAAGACCCTTAAATGAATCAGCGAGTAAGATTACTCATTAAGTCTATATATTATTCACTCGATTTGTGTATTAATATTTTGTATTCTTCATATTATTAATAATTTAATTTTACGTTGCACACAGTTCGATCAGACCGACATATTCTTCGCTACAGTCATAATGACTTCAGACATTAATAAAAGATTTCCCCGATTATTTCCAAGCAGCACTTGCGTATGTATTTTATGCAACTAAAACACAAATATTGCAAACTATTTGCGGGTATCTGATAATGAGAATTCAATTTTATTAATACGTCCTGAATCATTCCTATACCTATAATATTATAATGAACTCGAAACAGTTAGGTACAATATTTTAAGGGGTCATGATAATATGCATCGAGCGTTAAGCGCTAAGCATATATATTATGAATTATATTGTTTGGCAACAGTACAATAACAGGTACATAGGGATTTATTCATAAATCTGGCAAAATGAAACTGAAATGTATAATAATATAATTATTTATAAAAGTGATTTGTTTTCTTTAAACATAAATAATATGTTTTTGAACTGGGTACAGGTATTTTATTTTTCTAACTGATTTTTTCTAACGCTTTGTCTATCACCATAGAAACGAATAAAATGTAAGAATTGTCTAATTTCCACTAGGCAAATGTACAATTAATGGTTAATTATTAAAACGTATTTATATAAATAATTAAGGAAACATTGATGTTAATAGTTTCAATATAAATTGATCAATACTATTGTATATCTGAAACATTAAGCGAAATTTCTAACTTTATAAGAAATTTTATATATTATTAGTTATTACTATATATTAATAATGTAATTATCTAGGTATAGGAACTCCGTATACCCAGATACGAGCTTAGCTCAGTTGGTATACGTATCAGCTCTTAATTTATTTTATTATTGTTATTATTGAATTATTCTGAAATAAAAAAATAAATAAATATTTATAATTTATATATTTTCTTCGAAGTTGAAAATATCGAGTAGCGTGCTACGTTTATGTCGCACGATCACCACACTTTAGTGTTTCTTGTCATTACTTGCAAACTACGTCCACGTCAGCCTTCGATTTCGGAATACCGTTCAGACCTGTGTGATCCAATAGGACGGACACGTTCTTCAGACAAGTGTCCAGACTGTTTTTACACAGCACATCCGGGTCACTGAAATCTCCGCCTGGAAAATAAATAAATAATTGTTTGAAAACATCGTATTATAAAATTCTGCCCGACGAACGTTTTATAGTTCACTCCGGCCGCCGCCGGGAAAATGTGTGGCGCACATGTTAAGTTTAAAATATTTTGCTTGTTTCACCGTTGTTACGTCTTATTAATGCACAAACACTTAAATCCTTCTCACCAGCAGTGAAAATATTCAGTTCGCAGCGGGAGGTTAGAGGGCAAACTGCAAAGACGTCACCGTTCGTTTAATTTATTAGACGACAACTGCACCGGGGACACAAAGATTGCGGAATAAAAATTTCTGCGATTAGGTATCTTTTGTAATAAAATAACTTGTCGGAAATCGACGTTGCAGCAATATGCTGAGATCTGAGTCTGAGAGGGTGACTTCGTGACACACATTATAATGTAATTATTATACCGACGTATAGGCTTCGACGTAGGTATATAATATTTTTTTTTTTTTTTTATAAAATAAAAATAATATATAATTATTTTTTTTGATTTGCTGGTCCTGCCTGGTCGCGATAAATAATGATGCTAAACGTACAAAACGATTTAATATTGATATATTTAAAACGTGCGCGTCTAATATAAGTTATCACGAAAATTGGAAACAACCATGATTATTTAGGTGTCCCAAAAGCTAATCAATTGCGAGTCGTTTATATTTACTAAAATATCATAATAAATGAACAGAATATTATGTAGCTAGAAGGCAAGTACGGGTTTGAGTTTATTAATTGACAGACGACATTAAATCAAAATAATATCACTCTCGAATCATTTTTATAATACGTTTATAATACACTCCTTCCGCGATAGTTTTTGTTTGTGGTGTAGGCCTCGTATACACATTTGTGGATATAAGTATGCGATAAACCACTATACATAATAACATTTTATTATAAAACTACTTCGTCTTAATCTTGGTTTAATATTGTTACCTAACCAACTAAATTCATATTGTTTAATCATTGGCTTAAAATTATGATATGATATTACAAGTGAAAAATGCAGAATTGGTTTTAATACACAATTTCAAAATGTTTACTCTATATTTTCATGTTAATAGGTACTTGCATGACTAGAGCTATGGAAGAAGTGCTCAATAACTTTCGAGTAGCGCTCTTACAAAGATTGGTTATTATTAGAGGCTACATAGTATTTTGAATGAGCCATTTTATCTTCCCCATAGTTTCTGCAAGTGAAACAAAGAAAAACTTAAGACAACTGCTCAAATATCAGCGCAAGTCCTTAGAATTGTTATCGTTGTTTTCAACCGTAATACTTATAACAATATAGATACCACTATAGTTGTGCACCGAGGTAAGTGAATCGGAACGAGTGATCAAAATTAAATTTCATTATTAACTGGTATCATCCTGTCCGAAATGTGTTTAATTTGAACTATTCGTGGAAACATTAATTATTAATAAATAAATAAATATTAATTATTCACGTACCAAGGACACTAGGTACCTCATTACATTTTTGATAAAATACCTGTTACTACCAATCAAACGATTTTTAAATTTAATTGCAATAAATTGATATTTCATTAATGCATACCTACTACTTAATTACATTTTAAATTATTTTACGAGGGAGTTTTATGAAAATTAATTGATCCCAGGCTTGTTAATCATGTTTTTAAGTTCAAGGACGTTTGTTGTACAACATATATAACATTATTCAATAGCTATTTCATATGTTTTGTAGTATTTAACTAATTAAGTTGACAGTAAGTTTCAATAGTCAACACTGGAATTTTATAATGAAATAAGTTTTGCGATTGGAAGCTATTAATTATATTAAAATATAATATTATACTTATGATATATAGGCATATATTTGTTTTTTAGGTATTACGCATTAATGAAGTAGAGTTGTAAACTTGTACCCCCCCCCCCCCCCATGGCCCCATATTACCTATTGTATAGGTGTACATTTGTACATATTTTAAAATAGTTAGAAATATATTATATGAAGATCGCATACTATAATAATATATTATAATAAACTTAACATTGTTACTTTCTATTATAATTTATAATATATAGTTTTATTTTAGTTATCATTATCTGATCGTTTGGTTTATCATACAAAAAAATTATATGAACCAAATATTGACTGTGAACCAAGGTAGGTACACTCATTAGTAATAAGTAATAACTACTCACTATAGCTGCTTACTATACATTTATCGAAATAATTGAACAGCTTTTAAAATAATAAATTATCAAAAACAATTCGTTTTGAATACAATACAAGTATGAAATGTTTTGTATTTTGTTATTTTTAGATGTTTGAACCTGCCCAGTTTAAAAGTTGTCAGTATTTATTGGAATTTACATAGTAATTATATCTACTATAGTAACGAATAAACAAAAAAACAATTGAAACTGAAATACGAAAATATAATTCTCTCAATGATTTTACTGCATCAGGTACCATAATAATATAATATAGAAATATATTTTTTTCTGAAACATTATTTCAATTTCATGTGAGTTTTAAAACTCTAAAGGGTTGTTAATGAAAAAAAAATGATAAATGTATAGGTAAATTCACTATATTATTGTTATTATAACTTTATACATGTCGTTTTTATGCCCCAAATAGAGCTTAATGGATGTCAAAATGTCACCATAACATTTTTTTTATTATTAAAAATTAATCCGTAATAATATTATTCGTGTATACCTGCCCACATATATGAGCGGCAATGCAATTAATGGAGAATAAAACGAGACAGGTTAATACCGAACGCAATCAACGTTATTGATAAACAGACTATAGACTTCGCCATTCATTCGGATCCTACGTGTACATTATATATTATAATATGTGTTCATATAGTATTAAGGCGTTACAATAATTCAGTCGACGAGACAAGCGTAAAAGTGTACCATTCCCAATACGACTCTATTTGTGACATGATAATGCAATTAAAAATAAGACACACTTGCAGATCAAACCCAATCATTAAAACGTGCCCTTACGTACACACACGTTTCTGCACTTCAACGATTATCGAACGGAATACTTACGCCGAGTATTATCTGCATATTCCAATTGTTCACTTGGATACGTACTGGTTGTTAAGACCTAAGAAATTCTCGTAAATATGCTTAATATTTAATGACAAATCAAAAACCACCGTCATTAATAATATTATGTAGGGGAAATCGGGTTAAGTTGATTTAAATATAGATTTCTCCAAAACATTATTTTATATACCTTCTTTAGTAGAAACTTCAAATAGTAAATAAGTCCCTAACACCAAGTTATAAGTATATAATATAAGCTTTCTAATGTGAAAAACCCCTTGAGTGTTAATTTACTGGTGATGTTACCTACAATTACTTCATAACTTATTTCTTTACCTTTATCACTACCTAGTTTATGTGTGTGCTTAATAGGTACTATGAACTCTGCAACGAGTTCCATATTTGATCAATTAAATGGTACACACGTATTTATCATTACGTAGGTACGTAAATATAAAAAGTATTATTTATAAATAGTAGGCAAGTCCATAATTAGTATTAAATATGATTATAATACGCTTTTTTTTTTCCCGGCTTTACGATCCATTGAGGATCTTTACCGCCAAAACTATCTCCTCCCATTTCTCTCTATCTTGCGCTATGATTTGCCAATTCGTCCTAACTTCTTGGCCTACCGCATTCCATATTTCATTTACGCTGTCTATCCATCTTCTTCGGGGTCTTCCCCTTGGTCTTTTCCCTGTTGGCGTCCAAGTCATTATTTCTTTTATCAGGCATCCTTCCGCACGCCACGCATGTCCAGCCCATTGCATTCTTATACTTTTAACGTATTGTACAATATTTTCTCTTTTGAATAGGTTCTCGAGTTGTGCATTCGATCTTAATTCCCATTGTTGGGTTTCGGTATTAAATACTGAACCATGTATTTTTCTTAAGATTTTCCTTTCAAATCTACTTAGTTTTTCTTCATCACCTTTAGTTGTGGCCCATGTGGCACATGCATACGTCAATACCGGTCTTATGTAACTTATATAAAGTTTTTCTTTGACATTTTTTGATATAAATTTTGATTTAAATATCGTATCCATTGCAAAATAACATCGATTTGCTGCATTCAGCCTCACATTAATTTCTTCGTGCATAATATTTTTGTTGTTTAGAGTTACACCAAGGTACTTAAATTCTTCAACTTGTTCGAATTCCTTATTTTCTACTTTAAGGTTGGAGCTATCCTCTGATCTTCTTGTTATTGCCATGTATTTTGTCTTCTCTTCATTTACTAACAGACCCATATTTTTACTTGCCTTCATTAATTTCTTCAGATTCATTTGGACTTCTGTTCTAGTATTTCCAGTGATTATTATGTCATCTGCGTATGCGAGTAGTAGTCCTCTGTGAGGTGACCAGACATCTCCGTTTGACATTTCACGTACCACGCTTTCCAATGCCATGTTAAATAATATGGGTGACATGGCATCCCCTTGTCTTAGTCCACTTTTGATTTCAAAAGCCATAGACACCTCATTCCCAAGTTTTACTTTACTATACGTTTCACTGTTGCATAATTGTACCATTTTGATAATTTTCAAAGGGATCCCAAATGTCTTGAGCACCTCCCATAGTTTTTCCCTGTTCACGCTATCATAGGCCTGTTTATAGTCCACAAACACCATATGCAGGTCTTTTGCGTATTCATAATGCTTTTCCATTAATTGTCTCACTACAAATATATGGTCTGTGGTTGATCTTCCTTTTCTGAATCCACTTTGGTATTCACCTACAGTTTCTTCGGCGTATCTCTCTAATCGTTTTAATACTATTAATGATAGAAATACGTTTACCTTATGTATATTTTCATAAACATAACATGAATAAATGGATGTTAATCACAAACGATGGATGATTAAACAAAATATTATGTCAAATAATAAAATGAAATAATTACCTTCACGTAAAAAGACATAGGTAGGTAGTTTAAACA